AAATTTTATTACATGTGGAAATACAACTTGGCAAAAAAAATAATGACTTGAAAAAAAATAATAATATGATAAAAAAATAAAAAAAATTCTTTCTGATTTTTTTTTTCTTCTCTTTTCCTTTCTCTCTGTGATTGGAACCTAGCATGCCTGGGTTCGATGGAACCCAAACGTGGATCTTTCAAACCCAGGTGCTAGGTTCGTTGGAACACAGCATGCTTGGGTTCGCAAAGAACCCAAGCATTGGGTACCTTCGAACCCAGCGGTTGGGTTCCTTCGAACCCAGGCGCTAGGTTCAGTGGAACCCAACAAGCCTGGGTTCGAAATGGGTTCACAAAGAACCCATGCATTGAGTTCCTTCAAACCCAACAATTGGGTTTCGAACCCTAGCACACCTAGGATCAATGGAAACCAAGTGCTAGGTTTAGTGGAACCCAACATGCCTAGGTTTGGTGGAAATCCATTTCTTTACCTTGAATTTAGATTTTCATGGTGTGAAATTTTGGGGAGACGTGTGTGAGACTATTAGGAATCTAGAGATACATCTATTTAGGTTTTTTTTTTTCTTTTTGTGCAAAGAGTAGCCATGGCATCTTCGGATACATGCTCATGTCTCCTTTTTGTGCAAAGAGCTTGCAAAGCAACTGAAGGAAGCTGGGCACATGCTCATGAATCCTTCTCCTTCAGTCAATGAGCTTCTCCCTTTTCTGGATGTAAGCCTTAATCTAGACACTCATCTTCTCCATTTTGTGATATTCCATGTCTTGTTGTCGTTCTTGATATTGAACCCCGATCCTGGGTTCCTTGGAACCCAGGCACCAAAAAAAAAAAAAAAATTGTTTTTGTATTTTGGGTTTTGTTGTTTGATAATGATCATGGAGAACCCAATAAGGGTAGAAATTGATTGAAATGAATAGATTGGTTGAGATGTTAGGAATTGCAGAAGTTGAAGAAAGGAAAGAGGAAAGAAAAAAAAATGCAAAAAAAAATTTTGGGTGGGATGAGTTGGAATGATCATGTCATCTATTTTTGCCAACTTATCAATTTTTGTGTGACACATAATGCTTCTTCTGTCTTCCTCTATCAATTAACGTGAAAAATTAATGGAAGGACCAAATCGAAGTTAAAATGATAAATAGTAAAGACTAAATCAAAAATTTTTTTAGTTTAAGGACTAAATTA